TATCAGCAATTTTCATTTTAATAATAACCATCATGATTTTTTTAACTTCTTGTTTCTTTTTTTTTAAATTATACTTTAAGTTCTAAGGTACATGTGCGCAACATGCAGGTTTGTTACATATGTATACGTGTGCCATGTCTCTTGTTTCTTTTAAATCTCAAAAAGTAAGAATGGGCCAGGGATGATACAACACTGTTGAACACAATGAAAATTAACTTTGTTAACTTTGAGTTACTTTTCTATGATCAACTCTTGGCATGTTACTGTTTCAACTGAGTATAGACCTCAGGTCTCTATATTTCTTGTCATGGGTAAGTATAGTCTCTACATAGTATCTACACTTTGAGTGTGTTGTTCTAAGGCTTCCAAAGTTTCCAGAACCAGCCAGACACCATGGCCTCAATCTGTCTTTCTAGTTTCACTGCTTTTCTTGAGTCAAAAGTGACAGACCTTCCACCATGCACATCTGTTTATCCTATGGGCACCAGAAGCTAAACTGGACCCTTAAGGCCTTCAGCAAATTAAAAATGGGTGAAGGGGCTCAAAGTAGCTTGGTGTTTTAGAGGCATGAGATAGCCCTCAGTAGAGCTTAGGAACTCTCTTAATGTCAAGCACTTGACCAAACACCCTTCTCTTTAAATAATCAAGAAGAAGAGCTCAGCAATGCAAGCAGCAGTTTAACTAGTGGATAAGTAGATCTTGGAGCTCTGGGAACCAACACCGAACAAGGAAGGGACTCTGCAACAGTCCCAGCTGCCTCCCAGTTTGAGCTGGACAACCCAGAAAAGAGAGCATGGAAAAGACTGGAACAGAGTGTGGAATGGCCTAGAGGAAGGCGAACTTCTACTTCCATTATTCTTGTCCATAAAAATGAACTTATTCCAAAAAGACCCCAGAATAAACTAAACTAACCAAACAAATAAGCAAACAAAAAGAAAAGAAAATGAAAGAAAGAAACAAAAAAGAAAAGAAAGGCAAAATATACATGAACTCTGCCTTAGTTTTTATCCCTAGACTTCTACTATGGACAGCACCAAATATTCATAAATGTAGCTGGATGAATTATCTCTCACCTGGTTCACCAAAGGAACAAGTAGGATAAAGCCTGATGCAGCTTGCAGGGTGACGATGGATTGGGATAATGACCCTTATATAGCTTGTAGTGATTATAGTGAGTGAGGTGACTCATTAAACCTAACTCCACCTCTACATATTTACCTTCCTCCTTCACATTCTCATCTACAGATGATTGCAGAAAGGCTAGTACCAGCCCCACCTTCCAGTATGAGGACATGGTTGCAAGATGCCTTTTTTTCAGGGTCATATATATGTGAAAAGCACAGACTTTGTTTTAGAGGACTCATGTTATACATTTCTTTTATCTAGTACCCACAGAAAGTAGCAGAGTGTAAGATGTTTGCAAGGTGCACAATAAATGCTTATTTAATTGAAAATTAACCTGAGTCACTAGGTTCACCTAATTCACGTCTTTTTTGTGATAACGAAAAGTGACATTTATTGAGAATGTACTATGTGCTAGATAGTGTGCTGAATACTTTAAACATACCATCTCAATCTTTACAATATCTATACTTTTAATTATGGGTGCATAGTTGTGTATAATTGTTGGGTACATGTGATGTTTTGATATGGGCATACCATGTGTAATGATCAAATCAGAGTAGAGTAATTGGGGTCTCCAGCATCTCAAGCATTTGTCATTTCTTTGCGTTAGGAACATTCTAATTCTACTATTTTAGTTATTTTAAAATATACAATAAATAGTTAACTATAGTTACCCTATTATGTTACCAAACACTAGATCTTATCACCTCATTTAATCTTCACAACCTTCATACAAGATATGTATTTATTATCCCATTTTACAGAGACAGGTTGTGGAAGCATAAGGTTCTTCTCCAAGGTCATAGCTAGTAGGCAGAGAAACCAGAATTTGAACCTGAATCTACCTTATTGCAATGCCATTGCTCTTTACCATCATACTAGCTTACTTCTGTGTATTTATCACATAAAACTATCATGCAAAAATCATGCACCATTTTGGGAGTGTAAGGCCCACTCAAACACAAATAACATAAAAAAGTAACATACAGAGTGCTGTTAGGAAGAGGGGAAACATTCTCTGACCTTGTGAAGGCTCATTTCTAGGCTAGAAACGTGCAGTTGGCTATATATAAAAATAATGTTTTCAGATGTGTTCAGGGTGAATTTAGAGTGGGCTTTCTTCCAGCACTCTGCTACCCACTAGTAGTCTGGCATCTTTAGGGCCTGGACCCTTGGGAAAATGTTCACTTATATACGGAAAGTATATCAAATATACTTGAAGGCAACAAAAATAATCAGAGAGTTGCAAGTCTTAAGTATGGAGAGCCAATTCTTCTGTACTTTGCTACCAGGTGATAATGGTGATGATGATGAGGAGGATAGCAGCTACCATGAAGTGCTACGTGCTTACTATCTTCTATACATGGTAGGTTTACATACTTATCTATTTATTCCTCAAAATAACCCCACTTTATAGATAAGGAAATGAAAGCCTAGAGTAATGTAAACATTTGTTACAAATCACAGCTAGTCAGTAGCAGCACTAGAACAGATACCCATGCTATTTGATGCTAAAGCCTAGCACTTAAGCATATATATTCTACATATATGGAGTCAATAAACTCCTATCTGGGCATTCCTTTGGGGCAGTCATCATATCTTATTCACTCTACCATCTAGGGAGCACCTAGAGCTTGGTAAACACTAAGAATGAGTGTCTGTTCACAAAATGTTAATGAATATGCCCTTGAAATATGTCAATTGCTCACATAGCCGAGGAATCCTAGACCAAAACAACCACACAGAAAGTTATGTTTGCTGTTGGATATTATGGTCATTTTCAATCATATGCATCTTTTGGAAGTGCATTTTTGTTAAGATGACTGCTGTGTCAGAAAGACTTTCAGGCCCCAGATTCCACACTGAGACAGAATTTTAAAGCCATTTTTGCACTGTCATTCCAGCATTATAGTTGAGAACTCTGAAACTCCTCCATAGTTCAGAACTCCATTATTCACTCTTTTGTATTCTTTACATTTAGGTCTCTCTTCCTCTTCTCACTTGCTTAGCATAATGGATAAAATTATAGTCGGAAAGACCTAAGTTCTAATCTCAGTTTTGCCTCTTACTGTTTCTTGTACAATTATCTAATCTTTTCAGCTTCAGTCTCCTAAATTATAGAATGGGAACAATAACACTTACCTAACAGGCAGCAATTACTTAACATGAAATTGCTTAGTACCTGCCTGGCATATAATACATTCTTAGTACACTATATAATTACTGCAAACTTATTTTGCTAAATATTTCATATAATCTATCACAGCATTTTACACAAAGAAAGTACTTGATAATGTTTGATAAAAATGAGTTAGAAGCCACTAGTAGTCTTTTAAAGGTAGAAATACTACATCTCTGTCAAAAGTGTTGCCTAGAAGGTAAGTCATGGTTTTGGACACGTACCCTAGAATATAAAGTATAATGAAAAGAAAAACAAACTAAACCACATTTTTTGGGATATAATTCACATCTCATAAATGTCAACCTTTTAATCTGTTTTTTGTTTGCCCCCAGAATACTGTGCTGGCAGTGAGCTGTACTTTTTTTCCCTAATTGGGAAATGGGTTAAAGTATACAGTTCATTGTGTGTGTGTGTGTGTGTGTGTTTATACAGAGTATGTGCAATTGAGTTATTGTTCTTACGATGTCTATGTCCTTAAGTGAGTTTCCTCACTTCTCAATGCCTTAGTTTTCCCTCTGTAATAATCATAGGTGTTATTAGTGTCAGGTTCCAACTGGACAGATGGCAGGTCATTTCAGCAGCAATTTTGGAGAATGATTATTGTTCCCATTTCACAGAAGCCTATGCACTCTTTGGAAATAAATCCAAGTACTGGTTTTAAGTACCGAATTGATACCTGCAGAAACTTTTGCCCTCCTGGATTCTGAAAGATTATTTAGTTCAACAAAGCGGAGGTCTGAAGTCCAGAGGAAGGGCACAGTCAGTTACACCATTTCTCTGTATCTGGGCCTTCTTCCTGCCTTATTCTACTCATCTCATCACCTTCTGCTCATTCCATGTCTACATTGCTCAGGCTCTAGACACTACCAGACTCTTTGATTTTAGGCCCATTTGGTGAAGCTTATGCACTGTTGGCCACTGGATTCTTGAAGAGGAAGCTATACCTTAGAATGTTAAAAGTAACTTTAATTGGACCTGTGAAAGTTCCAGTTTTTGGCTTTTCCACTGCATGCCAGATGAATTTTGTTTCTACATCTCATCTTTTTTTAAATTTTATTTTTTAAAAATATTTATTTATTTATTTTGAGACAGCATTTCACTTTGTTACCCAGGCTGGAGTGCAGTGGTGTGATCATGACTCAACACAGCCTCGATTTCCCAGGCTCAAGTGATCCTTCTGCCTCAGCCTCCCAAGTAGCTAGGACGATAGATACGTGCCACCATGCGTGCTAATTTCTTTTTTTTCATCGTATTTAAGGTGGTGGAGGTTCTCCAAGTTAAAATAATCTGTTTTACTTCCTGTCATGTTCAAATTAAGAACTTGCCCTAGGGCCCAAGTGGGTCTTTGTCTATCATAAGAACCAAACATTTTCTCTATGTTACAACTATTTGGAACTCCTGTTTGGGGGGTTTTCAGTGAACTCAACTTAGAGCTGATACCTGAGAATTGATTCAGGGACACTGATGTGCAGTAAATGTCTGTTTTCTGTAAGAACAGTTTAGGGAGATGTCCTTGGCTTGCAGTATGATATGGTAGAAAAAACATTGACTTTGCAGTAAGACAGATAGATCAGTTTGTATTACAGCTGCAACACACACTGCCTGTAATATCTTGGGAACATTTCTAAGTCTGTCTCTGTTTTCACACCTGTGAAATAGGGACAATTACAGACACTTTAGAATTTGATAACATTAGGATAATGCTTAGCACATAATAAGACTTCAATATATTTTCCTTTCTTTTCTTCATACTGTCAAGTTTAATCTGACTTAGAAAATTATCAATAAGTTTTGGGCCTGATAGTTCATAAAGATGATTCTTAACTCCGTTCCCTCCTTGTGGTCTCTCTTCTTAGGTGAAATTGAAGGCCAGCTTTTGGAACTCAGCCTTCCAAGGAACTTAAAATTTCTGTTATGAAGAGTCCCTGAGGAAACTGGATCCACTAGCTACACTAGCTGAGAATGCCCACACTCCAGGATTTCATTTTTATTTTGCCACCTCATTGTTGGTATCTTAAGATCAATGTACTGGAGCAGCGGGGTCTCACAAAGAGGATACCTGGTAACACACCCAGGCTTTCAGAATGCTCCATAGGGCTTTAGTGACTTGTCCAGTTTCAGCTGAAATGTGTCTTCTGGGACCTACTAATGCTTGTTGAACTTTACTGGATCTCAGAAGCTGGGTATCAGAAGCTCAGATGTTCCTTGGAGCTACAATATCAACAACCTGTGATGACAGAGAGAAGGTTGCTCCATGATGGATTTGGAAACTTACTGGCTAGCTAAACCTGACTGAATGGGAAGGAATGTGGATAGCTTTGGAACTCTAGTTTCACTAGATGAGCTGGAATTTGTATTTTGACAAATTGCAAGTTATGGCTATTAAGTAATGCAACTGATTTTTTTTTCCCTCAAAACAAACAATCTAGAATCTGTGTAATCAAAATAATTTCTCTAAAAAGGCTGCAAGTATACACTTAAAATGTTGGGGCATTCAGAGCATTTGGAACATTACATTTTTTTGAATATTAATTGGTAGATGAAAATACCAACTTTTAAGTCATATGTTTGAATTTTTGAAGCATTAATATGCATTTAGAGTTTGTAAGTCAAGCGAGTAAGGTAAAAACTGATAAAGTAAAAAAAAAAAAAGAGAGAGTTCCTTGCTGAGTGTGAATTTAAAGTAACTAGACTTCCTTTTGTCCAGTGGCTCTCAATAATTTACTTCAGCAGGCATTTTTTTTTGAGGATATTCTATGATATCATGACCCTTCTTGTAGGAGCATGCTTTCAGTGGTGAGGCAGTCTGAGAATGTGTGAAGCAGTGTAATGAAGCCAGACCAAGATTGAAGCTTGGCCTGGGATTTGAGCATTAGGAAAACTGTTGAAGGGTTATGTATACATCACACACACACACACACACACACTCTCTCTCTCTCTCTCTCTCTCTTCCATACTCCCACAACAATGTACAGTATTTACTATAC